TATGTATTAAATAATATATAATATAATAATACATATACATTTATTAAATCTAATTTTTCTTTTCATGTTTTGAATTTACATTTTTCTCAATAATATTTATATTTCCTACAGATTTTTACAATTACTTCAATTAAAATTCTACATTTACAAGATATATTATTATAATATTTACTTGTTGACATAAAATTTTAACAACATTTTACTTGGATTTATTAAGATAGTTTAATAGTATTTTATAACTTTCAAACTATTAATTTTTGTATTGTAAATTTAATTTCTTAGATCGATTAATAATAATATGAAGATATTTAATGATGATTAAATGATTAATTTTATATTAATGATATTATATAATGTCGTTATAAAGAACGTTTTATAAAAAACACTGGTTATGATCCACATTAATTTTAATTATACAGAATGAAATAACAAGGATTTTCAGAATTTTCTTTGTTGAAAAGATATTAATTTGTATCGTGCCAATAATATACAAGCATCTACAGCATATTCTTGAACATTGGGGTTGAACGAACGAGTCTGGGGTGAAATGAATCGGGGAGGGAGGGTGGAAAAAGAGGGTGGAGGAAAGGGGAATCCGTGAGGGTGGTAAAGTACTCGTCAGTCGTATGACGCGTTTCCCGCCGACAACATCGCTTATATTGTCAATAAATTAAACCGCGACCGAATTTCCAGTTTCCACGTGTTCCTCGCATGTGTCCTTATATGATCTGATTGCTATTGGCTATTGCAGTTCCGCGGCAACCTGTATTATCGATCGAACGTGTTTTGTGCACGTTGCCGCAGTTACTCGTGGCACCGTCACTACATCGCACGTACTGCACAATCGTCTTCGTATTAACGTAACATCGTGTGCCGATTGGGATTCAATTTACGATTTCTTTTGCGCATTGCAGTCATAATCATAATTCACTAATTATAACAATATTATTGTATTAACATTGTTCCTCTCTATACGCTTTGTGTTAAAATTACCGTCCAACCGCCATATTCTATTTCAAATTGTATATTTCGCGCATTAGTGAAAAAGTTAATTATTTATTTGAGCTAACTGTTGACACAAGAAATTAAATCTATGCATCGTGAATTGTTTAGTGCAATTTTTATAGATTTATATTCAAAAAAAATTGTGACATAAGAATACTTTGAACTTGCTTTCTATTTTTGACGATCTTTGATCGATTTTGAAACTGTTTTATCGATGTTTTGTATTCTTGATTAACTACTCATGTGGCGCCAAAACAGAAAATAAAAATATGCTTTTGCTATCATGCCGTAAAAAGTAAATTAAATTCAAAACTCATTTTTCCAAAATAGTTAAATGTAGTGTATATAATAATATAATTACTATGATATTTGTGATAAGATCTTTTTAAAATATAAAATCTATTTGTGCTTCTATAATGGTGTATTTCTATAAGTGATTTTGTTAAAATGTGAATATTGTGAATTTATGTTTTTAGATTATGGTGTTATGGCTAATATTGTTCGTATTTAATATCTTCGTTACTTTGTTGAATACTCATCTATGGATTACTTCAGTATCATTATATTCAAATTATAGAAGGTAAATATTATTGTTTTTCTTTTTAGAAAAAATTATAGTATAAAAATTTTAATATAAATTTTTTAATTATTAAAAATAGGAATTTATATATATAAAATATATAAAAAGCAATTTATTTCTTATAATATATATGAATAAATATATAAATAATTATATTAACAATTTTTAATTATTATAAATAATTCATTATGTAAATAACTACTATTCAAATTTACTATTCGAATCGAATATTAAAATACTTATTTCATTTTTTATAATATAAAGTCTATTATTAGAATTTGTGTATATTATGAATTATTAAGTGTGAACCATTCTCCAAACGAAACAGTGAAAGTACAACTATACTACATAACCAAGATAGTCGTAAAAGTCATGTAAAAGGTTAACAATCAAAATATATACATTCATATCCTAAAACAAAATATATATTAGCATGTCATAAATAACCTGTTTTTTCTCCATAAGAACATTTTAAAACTTTCCGCGATAAAGATATCAAAATATTGCTAACTGTCCGAACCCATAATAATGAATTAGTTAATTCGTGTTATTATGACACAAACTCGTATTATTAGTGCTAAATAAATGCATAGATTCAGTACAAGGTAAATGAACGAAGGTAGACGTACTATGCAGCATAAAAGGATTCGAGGTAATCTAATGCCAAGTAGGGCTGGACGTAAGAAGATACCGAGATATATATAAGAAGCATCATCCATGACAATATGTCATCGAACATCTTCAAGGTCAACGACCTTAAAAGCGTCTCGTGCAAACGGGTCGACGTGGACGAGACGTAATTGCGCTTAGAAGATGACGCAGAAGGATAGGTAAATAGAATGGAAAAGAGACGGAACAAGTATGCGTCAGGAATAGGGAGTGACTTTGTGGGGTTGGTACGATGACAGTGCAATAGGGGAATAGTGACGTCGTGCCAAAACGGAGAGTAACAAATCAACGTGGATGCAAAGAAGTTGGGGAAGGGATGAGATTAAGGGAAAGGGATTGGGGAAAGGGAAAATGACTAGAGGGGTTGTATGAACGGACATGTGGAAGTTTCGGTTGCATTGCGATTATAGGTTTACCTATCACATTAAATCTTAGATAAAAAACTTGTGAAACTGATGTAATTTTATTAAGTAATTATTGATCTATCTATCTGTAACAAAAACTTGGTTTTTATTAACTAATTATTTTTATTTATTTTTATTTATTTATTATATATTAAATTTGAATAATATATAATTAATTGTAAGATATATTTTTAACATGATTTATTTCTTTATATATAATATATAAAATTGACTCATAATTAAATGAAATAGATTTATATTTAAAAACGAATTTTCCATAATATAATTAAAAATATATAATATATATATAATAATATTATATATAATATATAATAATATT